GAATTCTTTCCTGCACGAAGCCAATGACCCACACTTGGCAGGGCATGTCCCAGGGGCTCAACTGAAGCCTGGGAAATAGCCCTTCTCATGCTCCACATCTGTTTTCCTGCATCAGTAGTGGTACAATAATAAGAGTAGAAGTTCTTATAGCTTTGTTTCAGATATAGTAGCATTATATTTATAAAGATAAACATCTTTTCTGTTTCCTTAACTACAAGTCTGATCAGAGGCCAGAAAATGGACTAAATTACTGTCTTCAATCTTTCCAGTCTACAAATTTTCCATTTCTCAGATTTTCTTTCCTCACGCCTAATGATCTCAGGTTCACCATGCTCTGAAGGTGACCCATAATTTGAAATTCCCTGATTCTCATTCCTTGGAAACAATTTATGAAGTAACTGAGTGCTTTCTGGCTGTGTGCCCTCAGGCAAGGGATACCATTATGATTCAAAAAAGCTGAGTTCCAGTGGTGTAATGATCTCTTTAGGGACAGGTTTGAAAATTGCCCTGGGATCAGCTCAGAATCCAAGGCTAAGAAAAGCAACAGCTAAAGACAGATGATGAAAGACATTTGATTATTAATACATTTTCAAATCAAAATTCTGGCAGAAAAGAGCTATTCCAATGATTTTTACATCCTGGCTATGTGTTTTTCTTGGTGAGTTTCTTCTCCATGTATTGGAACCTATGTACGGCTTATTGTTTCTAATTGTAGCAAATTTTTAAAGGAAATGGAAAGGATAGTGAGTCAGATGATCTCAAACCTGTAACAATCTTTCCTTTGGCAGGTCACTTTTTTTTTCTCATCTACATTTATTTATCAATAATATGATAGTTGTAATAAATTCATGTCAGAATCTATTACAGAGATGAAAGAGATGCAAAGGTAACCTAGCACCATCCTCTTAACTACGTGTGAAGAAAACTCAGAACTGACAAGTCCCAGTTACTTAGTGCCAAGGCAACATGAAAATAAGGTTTCAGACTCCTCTTCCAATATTTACATACAAAGTAACCGAATGTTGCTTATTTTATTAAAAAAATAAGAGATGGATTGTGGTTTGGAAAGTTGTCTGTCTGTGTGTGTGTGTGTGTGTGTGTGTGTGTGTCAAAAGTAGAAGCATCCTATTGTCTCTAATAGCTTTGGTGTCTGGTCTTGTTGCCACTGTAGCCACAACTCATATCCCATCCCCTGAAATACAGTCCTCTCTTTATCTGGGGCATTACAATCTTCTATTTTCGTCTCTTGTTTCTAACACTTTGCCCTGCCTCCATTGAAGATATCTTTCTATTCCTTTCTCCTTCTCTTTCTCTTAGAGATTAGGAACAAACATTTTCTCATTTGATTATAAGAGATAACTTGCATAAAAAAATAAAATGCATGTCTTTGCTGTCTTAGAAGCATTTTTAATCTAAACTTTTTTAGAAAACTGGTTTTCCTATTCATGTATTTTCCATTTACCTAGTAAGACTTTAAAGGAGAATATGATTATTTCTCAGGTGAAGTGGCCAAATCAATTTAAATAAGTGAAATTTATTGACTCCACCAAGGTCTACACATCATTGGGAAGTCATTTTTCTATTACAACCATGATCATTTTACCTGCTAACATGAATGTCCAATCTTTTGGACTGAACTGAGGAAGGTTTTTCAGCTTCAGAAAATTCATTGTCTCATGGATTTTTAATCAATTTTTTCCTCATAAAGTTTCCTCATTTCTGTATTTTTGTTTTATACTTCCACAAGAAGGCAGTAATGTGTTTTTGTCTTCACAGAAGTTCTGTTCAGATTCTGACAAGCATGAGCTACCAAAGATTAAGTGCTTACTTTCTCCCATACCTTATGCTGAGTTTTTCATATATAAACTTATTTAGCCTTCTCAATAATTCAGTGAATTAAGTGGTATCATTATTTCCATTGATAGTTGAGTAAACTTAAGGAATTTGGACAATATTCCATTTGAGGTAAATAGTAGAATCAGCATTTGAGAAGCTATGTCATATTTCTAAATTCCTATAGTATAATTTTACATAAAATATTTTGTATTTTTATGAGATAATCATCAGATGTGGCCACAAGAGAAGAGAGAGAATCTCAGGAAAACAATGGTTGTGCTACTAACAGGTCCTAGATGAGAGGCACAACAGGCCTTGCAAAGCCAAATGGAAAATCATCAGGGGGATCAGGAGGCAGAAGCCAGGAGGAAGGGGTAGGGTGAGGAAGAACTTAGGCACTTATAACAAGCCCTTTATTGGGGTTTCCATAGTAAAGTCAAGACAGGGAAGGGTAAACAGTATAGGATTGACTACTCTGAATAATTTTGGTGGGCTTTGCAGTGTAGGGGTGGGCTCTATTGCCTGGTACCTGGCCCTGGGATGTTCAAGGTAGAGAAATATTGCTTCTTGGAGTATGTGGGCCAGATAAAGGGGATACAGATTGGTTAGTTTGCATATCAAAAGTACACTACTGGCTGGGCCTTTTGCTATCTCTATGAATTGGCTTACCCAGACAAGGAGGGACAGCCTCACCCCAGCCAGAACGGCTTTTTAAGATGTTAAAGCATCATAATATACAGAAAGCTACATATATATAATACTATATATATTTTATATGTTTTTATATTTATGTGATATATTTACATTATACATAAATTTTTATTATATATAGTGTCATATAAAATATATACAAATATATATTTATATATTATTTATGCATATATTATATATCTATTTTATTTATATGTTTATATAAATACATACACATTTATATATAATACACGTACTATGCTGTATAGAAGAAAAGTAATGCAATAAATTAATTAACACCTACAATTGTGAGACAAGCTAAATTTTACTTTTACATTGTCAGACAACTTATAAATAATTATCTAAGATACATCATTTTTTGTAATTCCTTTAGGCTCTGCTTTTGTCTGCTCATGTCCCCTTAACAAGATATATTCATATGTATCACCAATCTCTTCTAGGGAACCCATCACTATTCCCACTTAACCTCATTTCACGTGAACATCAAATGGAATTTCTCTACACAAAATTTCTAATTTTTAAAACATCTATATCTCTTTAGTGCCTTGATCATAGTCTACTGATAAATGTAGCTACAGAAGCTTATATAAAAAGATCTCCTACTTTCCATCTCCACTGAAGTATTTCATACTTTACTACATTGAGAACTTTCTAGCTATACCCACATATATATTCCTATTGACTGTGAATCAGTCTTTTTTTTTAAATATAATTTCACAGCAGTAATTCCTCTTGTTTCCCTTCAAAGGAAAATATATAAAATCCTATTCAGAGTGGTATTCTCTATTCAATGTATTTGGCTATGACAAAAAAATCATAGACTAAAACTTTTGCATGATTTTAAGCTTGCAGAATGATTAATGAAAAATAAAAAAGAGAGTATATAAAGATATCTTAAGATTTAGTGAGTATATTTCTAAAGAAAGAGCAGAAAAAATATAAAAATATCAGAAATTTGGGGTGACTGTCAAGTAATATAATCAATATACAACATAATCAAAAGTATCAGAAATGACTCTTACTGCCTAATGAATATAGTAAACTGAAAGAAAGCATCTAGGTTAGGTTGAGTTCCATTATAAACAGTATGGTGGCCCACAGGCAACCCTATCCTTTTGCATCTGAAACAGATGAACAAAATCAAAATATTTAAGCTAAAGGGGTTATCCAGTAGGCCAGTTTTAAATGTTACCATTCTGTCCTGATTTACGGTGCCCTTTTATTTAATTGATTTCCTATTTACCTTCTCAACTTTCTGTCTTATCTAAGATCTGTGAGGACTTGTATCACCTTCTTCCCCATTCTGCTTACACATCCATTTTGAAAGCTAATGGGCAAGAAGTAACTCATTGAGTCAAAAATGCTCTGTCACTACTGATAAAAGGACATGCCTCCATATAACTTTCAAGAACCTGGATAATGGGCCCACACATGGGTAACTCAATCAATTTTTGTGGAACAAACTTCTTCATTCCCCAATCTGATACTCAATTCTAAGATTTGTAAGGAGATATTTTACTCTCTAAACCAAAGAAAATTGGAAGACTGGGAAAGGCTACCACTTTCTGGAGATTCTGACCTTTGAACAAAATGGACAGGGCTATAGGTTGGAGGATCTAGTCTACAACTTCAAGTGTCACAGAGGAATTTCACCTAATCTGAAATGTGTCTGCAGTTTGAAGGTGGATATAAACAAAAAAGCTAATGTTGCCATCTGTGGGACTATCTAAGCCCACCTCAAAAGCTAGTAAGATCAACATTCTTAGAATCATAATTTTGATTTCAACAATTGCTAGGTGATAAACACTGGATTCATCTTCTTCATCCACAAATACCCACACTGGTATTTAGAAAAGGTATCCAAGAATTCTATTTTGATATTGACTTAAACTGACTCTGAAAGATTCAATGTCACATGGCCACATTTCATTCCTTTTTTTTTTTCATGATCTAGAAGAAATGATGAAGATAATTCTCTTCTTTCTTTCCATCCAAGATCAGTGATGAGGAAAGGATTTATCAACCATATGGGATCTACTAACATGTCATATCTGAACCCGAAGACAGTAATCCTGATTGGGATCCCTGGCCTAGAGCACGTGCAGTTTTGGATTGGATTTCCCTTCCTTGGTGTGTGTCTGCTGGCTCTACTGGGGAACATCTTCTTATTAATCGTCATTGCTACAGAACGCAGTCTTCACCAACCCATGTATATCTTCCTGGCAGTTTTGGCAGCAACTGACCTAGGTCTCTGTGTAGACATTGCTCCCAAGATGTTGGCTATCTTCTGGTTTGGCTCTTGCTCCATGTCTTTTGATGCTTGCCTCACCCAACTCTTCTTCATCCATGCCTTGCAGGGCACGGAATCTGGCATCCTGTTAGCCATGGCCTTGGATCGCTATGTGGCCATCTGTGATCCTTTGAGGCATACATCCATCCTCACACCTGTCTTTCTAATTCAGATGGTACTGATGGTGGCAATCTGGGCAACGGTGCTTGTTGGGTTTCTACCCATTCTACTCAAACAACTACAACTTTTCCAATCTGTGATTATTGCCCATTCCTACTGTGAGCACATGGCTGTGGTCAAGTTGGCTGCAGAAGATGTTCATATTAATAAATCATATGGGCTCTTTGTGGCTTTTGCAATTCTAGGTTTTGATATGATCTTTGTCTTTATCTCCTACATTCTGATTTTTCAGTCTGTTTTTCATCTTCCCCATAAGGCGGCACGACTCAAAGCATTCCACACTTGCACTTCCCATATTGTCATTTTCCTGGAGTTTTATATTCTTGCTTTCTTTTCCTTCTTCAGCCACTGTTTTGGACATATATCACCCTATGCCCATATCCTCCTGTCTACCATCTATCTGCTTGTGCCCCCTGCCCTTAACCCCATTGTTTATGGTGTGAAGACCAAGGAGATCCGCAGGCGGGTTGCTCAGTTGGTATTCTGAAGCGTGACACCTAGCAGTCATCCAAAATAATATGACACAGGAGAAATATATATTTACCTGTTTAAGATGGAAACTCATTGCACTATGTGTATCTTGGTAAGATTTTTACATTATAATGATATCCCTTAAAGATATATTCCCCAGGCGAGGGCAATCAGAATATAAGATAAACTTGGGTAAAAAAGTATACATGTATCTCATAATTTCCTATCATTATTATCCCTCCATCTCTCGCTTCCTTCCTTCCTTTATCTTTGTGCCTCCCATTATTCTTTCTCTGCCCCACCTCCTTTCTTGTTTACACATCTATTGCATCTTTCTGCGATACCAAGAGGCAGTTTATCTTTTGGAAGTATAACGGTGACAGAGACATATTCATGATTTCAAAGGAATAAATATAATTTAATTTGATTTAGGCCATGGTAAGATAAGAACAAAAGATTTACGTTCACATGTAAGAAGCAACTAATTTAGATTTTAGAGGGAATCAGAGAAGACCTTATATAGAAAGTCATTGCAAACGTGAGATTTGAATGATGCATTTTACTTAAGATGATGAAATTGTATCAACCATAACTTCAAGTTTTTAATAAATTATTATAACTCATGTAGATATAGAGAAGTATGTGCAGATGTGTGTGAATCTAACTTCCTTGAGTGCTTGTTTAATGAAAAGTAGGCTCATCTGTGCCTTCATCAGGGATCAAAATATACAAATCATTCTGCAATAGAAAATTATATATTCATATTTCAATAATATGATAACTTGGTTTTATTTAACTGTACAAATATAGTCCTTTTATTGGGTAAGTGAACAATGCAGCTTTTCAGAGTTTATATTGATTAGCATTGCTTGTTTGTGATGGTTTTAGAAGGAGTTCATTTTCAGTCTGTGTATCATTGCAATTCACTATGAACTTATTGTTTTTTCCCAAAAGGTCATTAGGAGACACTTTGAAAGGTTTTGAGATGTTGTCCACTATTTTGAGCAACTTCTCTGATGATGGGCATGAAACAGCTTATTGTATCCCATTCTTCTTATCCGTACAGCTCAAAAAAGTTTAAAAGCTAGTGAAGAAAATCCAAGATGCTGAAGTTTAGCCATATTACCCTCAGTCCCCTTTTCCCATTAGACCTTCCTGTCCAGGGTCTCCACAGGTTAAGAGCATATATATTACCAACATTACCACCACATGAACACCAATAATCTTAACTCAGTTTCTTCATCTACCACGGTTGTTTGTCTTCCTCCTCTTGATGATCAAGCTAATGACATATATTATTTCTTAGAGTAGGAAGGGAAGATTAAAGTTTATCTTATGATGGTCTCAGTCTATAAATAGGTGAGCATACTCATAAGCATTTCCTATCAAGAGTTTTCCCCAAAGCTAACCAAAGTAAGAATTTCAATGTATGTGGTATATCTGGGAATTGATCCAAGGAAAAACTTGTGAAGGAGGGAAGAAAACCATTAAAGTGTGCATGGTCAAGCAGACCAATTCTGTGGATGACCAGCCCTTTCCTGCCAGGGGTACTGGAAAATATGTGAGAAACATTACCTCCAGATTGTACCAATGTAGGGATAGAAACATGGGGTATTTATCCACCAATCTCCATCTCTTATTGTTAGATGGTAACTTCTGAAGTATCACCTTCCCAGCACTTCTCACATGTTCCACTAATGAATAGAACATGCTCCCCAGGTTAGAGGAAGGTCTCAGACAGAGTCATGGGAATCTACTGGAATAAACAGAGGCAATCTACAGGCAACTTATGGAGAAGGCTGAAGTTATATGGCTAGTTTTTTTTAAATTAGCTAAAAAGTAAAAAAAAAAAGTTTTATTGGGAAAACATACAAAAAAACATGTAGAAAGAGAAGGCATTTTTCTAAGTCCCTTTATAATCTCACAGAGAGGTAGACAGGGTATAGGACACTGCTGAGTGCATCATGGACTGTGTTCCAGGGAAATAATCCCCACACCTTGTGAAATCAGCCTTGAAGAGAATTAACACATTGGCATCAGGTACCAAGCTGCCTAAGATTCATGGCAATAATTTCATATTAATAAGCCAATTGTTTAGAAGAACAACTGGAAATACCAGCTTTCCAATATGTGGAGATTTTGCATGTTACCTAGTCCAATGGAAAGTTATGCCTGGTTGCAGCCTTTTCTACTGGGAGGGATGGGACATGTCAAAGTTCACAGGCAGACAAGATAGTGCTCACAGAATCATTTTTTGTATAATCCTGCCTGTTTTCACCAGTAATCCTGAGACATACTGGATCAAATTCTTATCTTACAGTAATTTTAAAAATAAGATTATTCCATATATTTTGTGGGATTAGAATTCCATATAGAGACTTTCAAGAGAAATAAGTACAAAAGATAGACCAAAATAATTAGACTTCCAAATAATATAAAGTCATTGTCTTCAAACAGAAGAATGACATATCCATTGAAAGTGGAAGACATTTTCAATTCTCCCACCTCTACCTGTTCTAGATCCAAAGAAGATATGAGATCTATTCTTCTATTCATCCATATTTAATTCATACATTCTGTTTTAACTCACTATCTATACTGTCCACATACTATGAAAGGCTGATGAAAATAATGTTCATGTAGTCTCTGCCTTCAAGAAATTCTTTCAAGGAAAAAGTATTGTGAAAAGATTGAAAGCATGGATATTGTGATGAGACAGACCTAGGCTTGGCTTCTGACTCTACCATCTATTACCTGTGTGTTATAAAAAGAGAACTAAAAATATTTGAATTATCTGACCTAATTTTCCTTATTCTTATAACTGGGATAGTAACAATTACCTAAAAGAACTATTGTATGAACATAACAATTTAAAATGTATTTTAAGCATAGCACATAATAAGGTGCTTAAAATATAGTTATTATCATTATTAAAACTGATAACAATAAGGACTGGTACAAAAAAACACAACATAAAATTCAGTGGAGTTATTGTTATGATAGCTATCTGAGATAAGGAAAAATAGAAGGAGCAGAGCAACATTGGGTATTTTTTGTTGCTTCCACTGTAATAGTTTACTGTTTTAAGGAAGATCTTGCTATATTAAAATTTATACTCCTTTTCTAGTCCTTTTGATATGCAGTCTCTTCTTCTGAATTGAAATAAGAATACCTATTCTTAATGGTAATTAATACAAATTTAAAGCATGTTAAAATATTCAACATATGAGCACTTTATCAGTCCTAATTCAAATTAATTTTATGGAAAAACTGAAGTTCAATTCTGTAAATGTTCCAATGACTGTCCATTTTAATAGATGTTCATATACAAATGCCCAAATAAGATCACCTACAGAGAAAATTCCCATGTGCAATCTGATTCAAGCACCTACTCTATAACAATAGTGGAATTAAATCAATTCTGTTTTGTAATCTTTTATCTCCCAGGTTTATTAAGACATAGTTGACATACAACACTGTGTAAGTTTAGGATGTAGAGTATTGATTTCATACACTTACATACTGCAGAATGATTACCATGATAGCATTAGCCAACACCTGCATCACACCACATACCTACCATTTCTTTTTGGCTGTGAAAACATTTAAGATCTATTCTTTTAACAATTTTCAAGTGTACAGTTGGCCCTTGAGAACACAGGTTTGAACTGTGTGGGTCACATGGATTTTTTTCAATAAATACATTGGAAAAATCTTTGCAGATTTATCATAGTTTGAAAAAGTTTCCAGTTGAATCACACCACCCAAAACTACTGAAATTAAGAAACAGCAGGTATGTCATGAATTCATGAAATATATGTAGACACTAGCCCAGTCTTACATAGACATAAGGTGAGTGATAGTTAATATAAAATTAATAATGTGTTAGTTTTCTTACTATTTTATAAATTTGCTTTCAAAGAATTATATTAATGTACAGTATGCCTCTCTCATAACTGGAGAAATTGCATATCTGCCTATCACCACAGGTTTTTTAAAAATGCAACAATGTTCCCAATATGGTATTATGAATATAACTAGAATACTGTATGCCATAAAATTTTTATAAAGATTCATTCATGATATGATAGCTAGGCTATCATGAAGCAATAATATTGATTACAAGGCTACCATAATATTGATTACAGGGCTACCATAAAACAATAGCATTATTGTTTCTTCATTATCAATGTATGAATTATTATACCTCTAAATAAATATGAGTTTATTTTTCACATTATGTTTTAATTTTTTTATGTCCAGTGTTAGTAATACACATAACATCTACAGTGTTTTGTATCATATAAGACAATACTGATGCAGATGTCAAACAGACAATTCATTCTGTAATCAGACGATATAAAATTACAGTATCAATAAATACAGTACAGTATGGTGAATGTATTTTCTCTTTATGATTTTCTTAAAAACATTTTCTCTTCTCTAGCTTATTTTATTGTAAGAATATAGTATAAAATACATGTAACACAAAATATGTGTTGACTGTTCACATTATTGGTAAGGCTTCCAGTCAATGGTAAATTATAAGTAATTAAGTTTGGGGGAATCAAAAGTTATGCATGACTTTGTGTGGGGAATCTATGTCTGTAACCCCTACAATGTTCAAGGGTCAACTATGTAATACAATAGTGTTACCTATAATCACTGTAATGTCCATTAGATCACCAGAACTTATTCATTTTATAAGTGAAAGTTTATCCTTTTTGAGCAGAGTACTACTGTTTTCCATATGGCTATATCAAGTCATATTTTCACCAACAGTGCAGTTTTCATTTAAAAAAATGCTATTATATTACACATACTTTGAATTTTTTCCTGTCTAATTGATCTCAAACTGTTTGAGAGTTAAAATTTACATTTTTCAGATGTTTAAAGATTAATGCAATATTATGCTTAATTGATGTCTTTAGTCTGATCAAGGTGCTTTACACAGTAGATGTACTTGGTACAATACACACCACATCAAATGATAATGTATGCAGGAAGGTCAGTTGG